AAAATAAAATAAAATAAAACAGCTTTCCTCTCATTTTCTTCACATTTTTATTTCAGAATTCATGGATCTTATTTTATTCTCTAGGCTCTCATTTATCACTATCATTGAGTATGTTGTCCAAAACTGTTACAGATTACAGTACATATTATGTATGAATTCAGTTATTTAATATCTGCTAAGATTAATATTATGGACAAAGATCAACTTGATGAATATTCTGTGTGTACTCGAAGTAAATGTGGGTGTTCATCATCTTGGTTGAATTTGATCATGATGTTTGATAGTGGTGTTCTGATTTTCCACAGCTTTATGTGTTATTTTCTGGTTTGTCTATCATTTGATGAGATAATTGTTAATTATGTACTTATATTGTACACCCCTGCTGTCAGAAACTCACTCTTTTTAAATTGCTAAGTCTCATTTCTTTAAATAGAAAAAAAAAAAAACCACATGTTTTTGTAGAGAGTAGTTCTCAACCTGTAGTGATTTTGTCTCAGGGGACTTATGGCAGTGCCTGGAAATATTTTTGAGCCACATCTTTGGAGTGAATTTACGGCTGCTACTGCTAAACAACTTGCAATGTATAGTCCATTCTTTCATACCCAGTGTTGTCCACATCTCACTGTACAGAGAGTCAGCACTGATGACTTCTACTATAAAAAATTAATTTTATTATGCATAGAATAAGAAAGTAATTTTTTGAAAAGATGCAAGAAAACATTTAAGGAACATAATGGGAAGATTATCACATGTATTTCAGTGGGCCTTTTATATATTGATATCTGAAATGTTATTTAGGAAGATGATTGTCAAGTGTTTGGAATTACACAATAATAAATGTGACTAAAAGTTGTAATTAATAGAGTAATTACTGATGTGTAGATAATGGCTATTAAAACAATTTGAAATTTCCATATCACATTAAGCTCCATGCCATTCCATTCATTTTAAAGCAGAGGTCATTGCTATCTTATCCATAGCTGTGCTCTAAGCAACAGCTGTGTCCTTGAAAGAAATTAAGACATCTTTATCTCATTATGATGCAATTAGCAAAATGAGAATAATTTTAATAACCTGCTTCTGTAACTCTTTGTTGTTCAGTTACCTACACACACACACACAAACTTAAATTTAAGGCCAAGGGGTCAAAAACTGAAATTACAAGATCTGGAATTCTAAAAAAATTTTCTTTCATGCAAAGATTTTTTTGCAATAACTACCTACTGTCAGAGAATAATAATTTTACTCCACTAAGGTTTGCCTCCAGGTTCAGAGGAATAGAATAGAGATTACAGTTATTGTGCTGTTTGACAACAATAATTCCACAAGGCATCATTTTTGTATTATATTTAGTATATAACTGTGGACTACTGAAGCTATGATTGTAGATTCTCCTGTGCTAATGCACATAATTCCTCTTATCATCATTCCTTTGCAATAAAATATTATATTTACCTCATTCTTGCTACATTAATCTCTTCCTTTTAACCCTCAAACTGGAATAATTTATGGATTTTAAGTCATGCTGACAAAACATTGATTTAAAACATGCTTTCTAAATACCAGCACTTGACACACTCTTGCATACTTGCCTATTTTTACATGAAACAAGAACGTTAAGCTGGACGGGGTGGCACACACCTCCAGTTCCAACACCCTGGGAGGCTAACGCCAAGAAGAGGAGAAACGTGAGTCTAGTATGGGAAACTTAGAAATAAAGCTTATTTTTTCCAGTGTGTTATTTGTGACCCCCTTGTTTTTCAGACATTGTGGTGACTGTTAAATATTTTAGTAGAACGTCTACTTGAAATAAATTTTATTAATTACACATATACAAAAGACATTACTGTGTTATGTACTGTTATGAACAACATAATTCAGTGACTAATGACATGCGTAGAAAATAATAAGACTGTGTTTTTGTTAAGATATAAAATTGTAGCATAATGGATTAAAATTCTAGTCATATCCCTGTCCAGTTTGCTGTAATATATCAATGAAATATTTATTAACATGAGCTTTTTGCACATAGCGCTGATTTTTCAATATTGCACTGCGGCATCTATCCTTGTGGTGTATTATCATTGTCAAAAAGCAGTCACAGAGATATTTTGAGTCACATGTTTCCTTAAATATCCTCATTTCCTAACAGGCAGTGGGTTTTATTATTGTTATTTTTCTTTCTAGAGAAATAAGATTGGTGAACAGAATGCTTCAATGCTGTATGACTTCTGAACCTAGACAAGATAAAGTGACATGACAAGTGGAACTGCCACGGTCACTCGTTCTGGGATCTTATCCTTGAAAGCCAGTCATCAAGCTGCAAGGGAGCTCAAACTAGAGCATACAAGCCCTATCTGGAAACTGAGGAAAACCTTCCCCAGCTTGCATTGTGCATCTAGCACTGATACCCGATAAACATGATTACAGCTAAATTTTCACGCCTAGCTTTCAATTCTTCTTTCTAAAGTCCATGTATCTTAGACAGAAAGCTGGTCCTCCTATGCCTTTCCTTAAGTGAAGGTAAAAATAATTATTGAGGAAAGAACTATTATGTAATGCTACTAATTGGGGATTTAATGCTGCTAATTTAACGCTGCTAGTGTACGTACATCATGTAATGGAAAATTAAAATAAATATCAGCTCCCAGAGTAGTCAGTGCCTTAAGAAAAAACTGGGAGTGTGCTAAAGGCTTTGGGGCCAGACTGTGGTTCTGAAGAGATCAGTAGGTGAGGGGAGATGACCCCCGAGGAGACTTTCAGGAAAACTTAAATTAAAATGAAGAAAATATTGCTGGATATTCAAGGGTTCCTTTTGCATCAGGAATGAAAATTTGGCTGTAGGGGCCAGGAAGATAGCTCAGTGGCAGAGCGCCTCCCTGGCAAGTGCAAGGTCCTGAGCTAGATTCCCAGTACCAAAAACAAAACAAAACAAAAAACAAAACAGAAAACCCCAAAAACAAACAAATAAACAAAACTTGGCTGTACCATAGATTCTGGTGAAATGGATATTATTAAATAAAATAAATGACCTACTCTATAACAATATTGGGAAAGCTGTCTGCCTCATTGCTACTTATTGAATAGTAAAACTGTGTAAGAGAACTAAAGAGGGGGCTGGGGATTTAGCTGAGCGGCAAAGCGCCTGCCTGGCAAGCGCAAGGTCGTGAGTTCGGTTCCCGGTACCAGAGAAAAACCAAAAAAAACCAAACCAAAACAAAACAAGAGAACTAAAGAAAGACTTATCAAATATAAAATCTACCAAAGATATGAGTTTTAAAAACCAGTCAGTGTTTCACTGGAAGTCTCTTCAGTAGTTCCAAATGAACAAAAGGCTGAAAGAAAATCCTGAGTGGGACTATGAGATTCTATCTTAGAATTCCAGAAAGGGATTATTTATATGTTACCATGTACCCTGACAAAAATCCTTCTCCTTCGAACCTCCACATGTAAGTTTGAAAGCCGAGAACACTTGGAAGGCAAGATAAAAACAAAGGTTTCTCTTGGTGGGACTTGAGGATGAAGAGATTTGTCTAATGGTTAGAAGTAGGTTACAGAAAGGTGCAATATGATTTGTAGGTGATTGTGGCAGACAGTATAATGCAGTAGGTGCTTTACACTCTTCTCTTCAAAAGGCAGGTAACAAGCTGGGATACAAACATAGGGGGAAACATTAACTCTTTTATTTAAAGTTACAGCAGAATGACTGGTGGCAGACCAAGAGCTCAGATCATGGAGTCCAAAGGCACCATCAATTTGTATGTGCTGAACTGGTCCTTATTAAACAAGCTAGGACTATTTGTATTTTACAGTTGCTGGGACCTAGGGACTTCTATGTGCTTCATTCATTTTTCACTTTTGGAGAGGAAAGGATTGCGTTAGACACTGCATGCTGCTTCCACCACTGAATGCAGGATGTGGCAACAACTTTTCCTTTAGTTCCTAGGTCCTCACGATGAGAAAAACAGTATATAATGAGTCTTGGCTTGAAGGGGATGATGGGATTCTTACCTTCCCATCTGTACCTAAGGTACCTGACAACCATTCAGAGTTCTCCAGGGAGAGGTGAGTGTATAATATATGGGAGTGAGAGTTCATTATCTTAGCTACAAGGCAAATTTATAAAATTATTTTTAGGAATTAATCTCTGCACTACTTCTGGCTCTTTTTACAGAAAGTTGAGATTCCTCATTAAAAAGAGGCTATGTTTTCTTTCTCATTGAACTTGAAAAGGACTTTGACAGGCTAATGAAAATAATATGGTGAAATTTTGTGATATCAGGGAAGATCCTTAAGGATAATAGAATTTGTATGATAGCATCTATTGTTCTCTTTGTATATTTGTGTTTAGCACCTACCTGTAGTTATTATTCTATAAAGAATTCCAAACTAGCTAGTGCAGAGAAACCATATGACAAGGTCCATGTGGGATGTGACAAAGTCCAAGCTCATAGTCGTCATCAACCTGAGAGGAAACAAAACTTCCTCTGGTCTCGATCCCTATGCTCCAGGTCAGTAACTGAATCTCCAGATATCGTGTATGAGAAGCAAACTATCTTTGCTTTACCCTGGCTAAACTTCAGACTTGCAGAATGTTGAGCATGATAGCTTTTGTTTTAACAATACTTAGTTATGAAATAATTTTTACTCGACCAAAATAACCAGGATAAATTGCTTAAAAGATTGGACCTAAAATTTTAAATGAGTAAATGAAATTTGTTTTTTAAGTATAAATTAATAGCAATATTCACAACTTCTCATGTTTGTTATCTTTAATTGTTCAATTTAGAAAATTAACAATAATACTTTCAGTCACAGGAAGACTTCAGTGTAAAAAAGTATTCATTTTTTACATTGATTACCCATTCCTGCTTTATTGATGAGCTTTCTTGTCTCTAGGAAAATGTGCTTGATAACTCCCATTTAAAGAGGGTAAGTTTATTGTAGCTCACGATTCAGACATTCAGTCCATGGTGTGCTGGCTCTGAAACAGGATGGTGGAGGGAAGCTGCTCAGGTTATGGGGTGGGGAACTAGATCAAGTAGAAAGAGCCAGAGAGGAGGTGTCCAGGAGTCAGATGGCCATGGATGAGGTTGGCGTTCTCGTAATCCAGGCCTCTGAGAGCCTCTTAATCCAGCCAAACTGACATTCCAGACCCTTTGTAACATATACTATCTCAGACATACAAAGATATTTCTGTTTCATTTCATGAACTCAATATAAAGTTTAAAGACAATCAGTGGAAAGGCATAGGTAGTTGTAAAATTAGGTGGCATTACCCATATTTGTTTTATCATAAATAACAATAAGGTAAGGAGACTGCATGCTGATTCTTGAGAAATTATTTGGGAGTAGATTTTACTGATTAAACGCAGTTCTATGTTGTTGCATATAGTTGTCTTCAATTTTCTGAGTTCCAGTGCCTGCCTGGCAAGCGCGAGGTTGTGAGTTCAATTCCCATTACTGGAAAAAAAAACTAAACTAATAAAAATAAAATAAAATAAAAAAAGGAGATTTCCCTGCCCAACACTGGGGATTTAATGCGGGGTCTCTAACTGATGTGTATCTCCACCTCTTTATTTTTTATTTCAAGCAGGGTTTGGCTGTTTCTATATTGCCCAGAATAGGCTGAAATTTGTGATTGTTCTGCGACAGCCTCCAGAGTGCTAGGATTACAGGTGTGACCCACATTCCAGCTTTGACCTTTCTTTACAAGGACATTTGTTAGTGAAATTACATGTCCTTTAGTAAATGTCATGAAAATATTGGAATGTTAGAAAGCAAGAATATTTTTTATGTAAAAATTAAAAAGGAAATTTCAAAGATTTCAAAAGAATAAATTTTTCCATAATCAAAATTTTATCCTCTTATTTATTTTGTTACCTGAGGGAGAACATAAGCTATGATCATATGAAACAAGCTGATATTCCTAAGTATTGGCCAGCACTTTAATATGCTGTGTGTGTGTGTCATGTGTTGTCTTTTTATGTACAAACCACACACACACACACACACACACACACACGTTTAAGGGATAATCACTTGCAAATACTGTCACCCCTCACTATATCGCAGTTCACATATTGCAGCTTCACTGTACCATGGGTTTTTAAAGAAAATATATTTACAGTAATTCATAATCTTCATCATTCATGTTGTAGTATACTTCACTGGTGAGTGAATATAGAATTTTAGATGTAGTTAAAATTATGTAGGTTTAAGAGCGTAGAAGGTGTTGAAGAGCATGTGAAGTGTTTATAAGAGTGTGGAAAAGGTTAATAAGAGAATGGGAGAGTTTTGTAGGAGTTTGGGGTTTATAAAGCCTTAAAATTTATAGAAACAATAAAATAAATAATGCCACTACCTCGCAGATTTTCACCTATCACTAGGGTTTCTGGAACGTAACTCCCACAAGAGGTGAGGGATCACTGTATTACATAAATGAGATGTGCTAAATAAATTGGAAAAATATTGAAAAATTTAGGATTCCAAATAAAGTTCACATTTATGAGAGTCAAAATATGAGAGAAGAAAAGCAAATCATCTGATAGCATATAGATTTGGTGGTTCTTTATTCTTTAAGTGTCAGCGTTTGTATTGTACATATATAAAAATTCAGGAGCCAGTGACTTTTTACTGGTATTTTCACATCACTTCAAATTTTATGCTTCAAGCCAGATATTCATATTATTGACATTACTTATTACTTCAAAATGTGTAAAAAGAAATGAAATGCAAGTTATAAGAAATAAAAAGCCTTAAAATATATCTCAAGATAATTTCTATAACACATGGTTCAAATTACAAAAATTTAACAGGCTCTACAATATCTGCTTTAACTTTTAATCATCTACCCACCATTTATTCATATACTCTTATTATCTCATTTTCCTACATGTTTGATATCCACATACCCTAATGCTAACAATTACATTAAAATATTTATTCAGCATTTCTTGCATCTATTCTTAGAGTTTTCTATCCATACAACTACATCTGAACGTACACTTTTATTCCTCCTTTCATACACACACACACACACACACACACACACACACACACACACCATACACACACACATTTGGAGTTAATCCCCTATCTCTGTATAGCTAGTTCATTTCTTTTTTACCTCTATAAGGTATTTCCTTGAGATAATATGTTACAATAATCAACACATCTCTTGGTTGATAAATATTTGTGACAGTATCATTGGAGTGGTGGTCTTTTAAGCAGTGATGCACACTGATTGGCTTTGTGTATACACCCTGAACCATTTTTTGGTATAATCTATAGTTTTTGGTATAAACTATAGTAGTGATTTCTGCTTCAAATTGTGTAAGCTATAGAACTCAAAAGTTTTGTCAAACACAAGCCTAAATGCTTCTAGGACACTATGTGGATGTGGCTAAAATTTCAGTAGATTTTTTTTTGTGTG